TTAATGTTCCTGGAAGCAGCAGTCAAGATCAAACACATTGCATTGGGTAAATCGGCTGCCAAGACCTCTTCAGAGTGCTGAAAAACAAGGATGTTACTTTAAAGACTAAGGTTTACTTGATCCAAGCCATGGTATTCCCAATTGCCTTATATGCATGTGAAAGGTGGACATTGAATAAAGAACACAGAAAAAGAACAGATGCATTTGAATTGTGGTGGCAGCAAAGAATACTGAAAGTACCATGAACTGCCAAATCTGCCTTGGAAGAAGTACAGCCAGCATGCTCCTTAGTGGAAAGGATGGTATGATCTAGTCTTACATACTTTAGACATGTTGCCAAGAGAGACCAGTCCCTGAAGAAGGACGTTATGCTTAGTAAAGTAGGGCAGTGAAAAAGAGGAAGACATTCAACAAAATCAGTTGAAACAATGGCTGAATCAATGGCCTCAAACATAATAATAATTGTGAGGTTGATGCAGGAGAGCAGTGTTTTGTTGTTGTACATAGGGTCGCTATGAGTCGGAACCAACTCGATGGCACCTGGCAACCCCCCCCTAACATTGCCATTAATTAATTGCCTTTAGCCAAGAGACAGATCTCAAACCCACCCTGAAGATGAGTTCCAAGAAAGCACAGATATGAGGGACTGTTGAGATGGTCACATCTGAAACATCCTGGCCAAACTTAAAAGGTAGGCCATACACAGGATCAAACTTTTAAAAAATGACTTAGGTTCAACAGAAAGTAATTATGAATGAATATCTGGTTGTAATTCTTATATGTGATATCATCATCTTGTGTGAGTAAGCTTTCTCATGTTCATTTCTCTACCTTTGAATATTCCACATTGCATCTAATCTCTCAATCCTCAATTTTAATGAAGTGCTGGATATCCATTGTTTCCTGTTTTTAATCATTTTATTAGGGGCTCATACAACTCTTATCACAATCCATACGTACATCAATTGTGTACAGCACATTTGTACATTCATTCCCCTCATCATTCTCAAAACATTTGCTCTCCACCTAAGCCCCTGGCATCAGCTCCTTATTTTTCCCCTCCATCCCCACTTCCCCCTCCCTCATGAACCCTTGATAATTTATAAATTATTATTTTGTCATATCTTGCCATGCCCGACGTCTCCCTTTACCCACTTCTCTGTTGTCCGTCCCCCAGGGAGAAGGTCACATGTAAATCCTTGTAATTGGTTCCCTCTTTCCAGCCCACCCTCCCTCCACCCATTGTTTCCTTTTGTCCTAAATAAACCCAAAGTACTTCAAATATCATGTGAGATCTAGTGTAACCTGGCTTCATGCTATGTTTTGATTCAAAGGCCCTATTATTTTACAGGTGCATACCAGATTTCAGTGTCAGTAAATGTGATGTCTGTTCCTTTCACTTTTCAAATAAAAAATATTAAAATCTCATTTCTGTTGAAGTTTACAGAGCAAATTAGTTTCCTATTCAGAAATTTATGCCCATTTTCCTTTGTGACATTATTTGCAATCCCTTCCATGTAACCACATTCTTCACACTTCCTGCCAGGGGTAACCATTTCCATTCATCCTTCTTTATTGTTTCTTCCTTCTGGGCTTTGCTATTGCTTAAATTTTGCCTTTTTGGTCTTGTATGATTGATTGTTCTGAGTAGTCTATGCATGGGGGTTTGGGTTCACTTTTTAGGTCTTTTTACTGTTTTAGCTGAAAGCTGATTCCTGGGGATTTGTTCAGTTCTAGGTTTGAAATGTGTCTAAGGGATATACTTTGGGGGTTCCACTATTCTCTATCAGACTAATACTTCTGGCCTTCTTATGATTTTGTTTTGTTCTAGAATTCTCAGGGTGTTGTATTGGGATTCTTCTCTCCAGGGTCTTCTATTGTCATCCTGATCAGAGGGCTGATAGTGGTTGATAGTGGCACCTGGGCACCTTCGAGTTCTTTTGGTCTCGGAGTAGCAGATGCTGAGATTCTTGTGGCCCATTAGTTCTTTGGAACTAATTGTTTGGTTGATTCTTTTATATTCTTTGGTCCAATGAGGAGACACTAGTAGTTGTATCTTTATTTTTTATCTTTTTAAGTGCAGAATTTTGTATCTAGCTTATAGTGCTATGATGGTTAAACTCTCATTGCCACTGAGTCTATTCTACCTCAGAGTGGTCCTATAGGACAGAGCAGAACTGCCCCCAGTAGGCTTCTAAGACTGTAAATCTTTATAAAAGTAGAAAATCTCATTTCTCCTCAAGAGCAGCTAGTGGTTTTGAACTGCTGATCTTATGATTAGCACCCCAAAGCATAACTCACTATGCCAAAATGAAACAATAAATGAAATTAGGGGTAGACTATAGAGTTAAGCAGTGAAGATAAAGAAAATAATGTTGAGCTACAAATAGAAAGATATTTTTGGCCACTTTAATAATAATATTTGATGACGAGGAATCATGGAAGCTTACAATGAAGTACTCCAGCTAGAGTTACGCTCAGGATAAATAACTTTTTAACTGGTAGACCTCTGCTGAGTTATTTTTCCAAAATCCCAAGGCCATTGAAAAAAACAAAGAAAACGGAGCCCAATTACAATGTCAAGCAATGAAAACACATATCAGCGCTTCTGATTTTTTTTCTTGTTAACCTATTTCCTGTGAAAATTACATTTCCACAAACACTAACTTCATTTGGTGTTTATTTGAATTGTATACTTTCTGTGTTAACACAATAACAGCCACTAAGAGGAGATATAATTACATATTATTTTTCTTAATTTGGTTGAGTTTCTGATCTCAAATCCAGGATTCTTCTACTAAGAAACACATCAGCTTTTTGTATGGCTATAACTTGACTAGATTAAGCAAACCAATTCTGATCACTTGGAAATACCAGTATGTCATCAATTGCTGTGGTCGTTTTATTTCATTGAAAGATATTGAAATTCATTCTGTATTTGAAAAAGGCAGCTTTCATTCTATAGACTGAAATCCATGTGTGTTATTGACAAATCCATGATATGTCATATTTTACTACTAGCAATGTAATGTGATTTAAATGAGAAATTACACATGTCAAATATAAACTTAATCTAGGTTAATGTTTTACTCTGTGAAGTCTATACTCTAAACTGCCCTAGTTCAAAATATAATTATTGCTTTTCTTATTGTTTTCAATGGCTACACAGTGGCTTGCAACAAGGAGAAAATTAAATGTAAACACAAGAGAGAAACAGAACTAGAGAAAGCAGGAGTAGATAGGCAAGCCCATGTAGATCAGAACACAATGTGCAGAATGTGAGGACGAAAGAGTTGCTATTATATTAACCTTCCGATTTGCCTTTCAGTTTCCTGGCAGCAAAGCAACAAGGGTGACTGTCTGTTAAATATAATAAAATACAATCATATTTTTGCATGAAAAATAATAATACTTTTAGGAAATGCTTAACGCTTATTTTCATAGGCTATATCCATAGACTCGAAGTATTTCTCATTAATGTGTATGCAGGCCAGTAAAAGGACAATTTTATAACTCCAAAAATTGAAATGAAAACGAATGTTAATCAGGAAATAAACAATAGTTTCCACATAGTTTCTATCAGATATATAGCATGACTAAAAGTTGGACTCATCCTTAAATAATCATTTTGGAAACGTTATTTCAGAATACGGTATTAAATATATAACATCTCCCCCCGCTTTAAAATTCCCTTTACCGTGTTGCCTGTAGTGTACACACTCACAGTTTCAGGCACAAGGTGTCGCTCTTCACTCGGTGGAAAGAGTTTTTTCAGAGGTTGTGCAGAACAGCCGCAAGCACTCACCACGCAGAACAACTCCATCATGCCGGATGCTACGGTGGAGAGATCCTTTCAACCATCTTAAAAATGCAGCAAGATTTTTATCCTTGAGTTGGAAGGCCCGATGTTGTAAATGTGAAGAGTCTTGTTTTGGAGATCACCTTTGTGGGCGATGTTGAGTCCTCAGAGAGGGGAGTTATGCACTCGGGGTCTGCTGCTCTCGCTTCTGCTGCTCGCCGCCTGGGAGGAAGGCAGCGGGCAGCTCCACTACTCCGTCCCCGAGGAGGCCAAGCACGGCACCTTCGTGGGCCGCATCGCGCAGGACCTGGGACTGGAGCTGGCGGAGCTGGTGCCGCGCCTGTTCCGCGTGGCGTCCAAGGGCCGCGGGGACCTTCTGGAGGTGAATCTGCAGAATGGCATTTTGTTTGTGAATTCTCGGATCGACCGCGAGGAGCTGTGCGGGCGGAGCGCGGCGTGCGGCATCCACCTGGAGGTGATCGTGGAGCAGCCGCTGCAGGTTTTCCACGTGGAGGTGGAGGTGAAGGACATTAACGACAACCCGCCCGTGTTTCCAGAAACACAAAAGAATCTGTTTATATCCGAAACTAGGGCTCTTGACTCTCATTTTTCGCTAGAGGGCGCCTCTGATGCCGATGTTGGCGAGAACGAAGTCCTGATTTACCGACTAAGCCCCAATGAGTATTTCTCGCTGGACGTACCGACCACAGATGAGCAGGTAAAACCGCTCGGGCTAGTATTAAAAAAATCGTTAGACAGGGAAGTCGCTTCAAAGCTACTCTTGATACTCAAAGCAACTGATAGAGGCAAACCAGAGTTGACAGGAACCGTAGAGTTACATATTACTGTGCTGGATGCAAACGACAATGCCCCAGCTTTTGATAAAGCAGTCTACCGTGTAAAATTACTGGAAAATTCAAGCAAAGGCACACCAATTATCAGAGTAAATGCCTCAGATTTGGACGAGGGCTCCAACAGCCACATTCTTTATTCCTTCGCAAGTGGTGTCGCTCCTAATATCGAAGCCTCTTTTCTCATAGATTCAGGCAGTGGAGAAATCAAAGTAAAAGGAAACATTGATTTTGAAGAAGCTAAGTTATATAAAATTCAAATAGAAGCAGTCGACAAAGGAAACCCCCCAATGTTTGGTCACTGCACAGTCTTAATAGACGTCTTGGATGTCAATGATAATACTCCTGAGTTAGTGGTCACCTCCCTTTCCCTCCCTGTTCGAGAGGACGCTCCCCTGGGCACCGTCATCGCCCTGTTCAGCGTGTCCGACCGCGACTCTGGGGCCAACGGACAGGTGACCTGCTCCCTGACGCCCACCGCTCCCTTCAAGCTGGTGTCCACCTTCAAGAACTATTACTCCCTGGTGCTGGACAGCGCTTTGGACCGCGAGAGCGTGGCGGCCTATGAGCTGGAGGTGACGGCGCGCGATGGGGGCTCGCCCCCGCTGTCGGCCACGGCGCACGTGTCCGTGGAGGTGGCGGACGTGAACGACAACGCGCCCGCGTTCGCGCAGGCCGAGTACACGGTGTTCGTGAAGGAGAACAACCCGCCGGGCAGCCACATCTTCAC